CCCCCTCTCTTCTTCTTCAGCTGAAAGTGAAAGGTTATACACGCCCGCACCACACGCACACACGTCTCTCCGGGATCGTCCCCACACCCTCCTCTCTCGGTACGTGTCTCAATTACACGAACCCCAATCGGGCTGACATCCGGTAGCGCAGTAGGCATCGGTGTTGCCGCTGTATGCGATGTCAGCTCTCAAACCATTGACGATGTATCATGACACGGGCAGACGATAAAACAAGGAAGAAGGGTGGGGAGAGAGTAGGGAAGGTGAAGGAAAGCATACCAATGTCCATAAGTTGAGCAGCAATCTCCGAAAGATGAGCCTAGGCAAGTCTGATGCGTAGAAGCGCCGCAGAAGCCATTCTCCGACACGATGGTCTCGCCATTCCATGCATTGCAAGAACCGTAGTCGGACTGACATCCGCCGTCGCAATAAGCTGATGTTGAGCCGCTGTTTTTTGTTTGTTTTTTGTTTGTTTTGTTTGCTCGTCATCAGTCTACCTGTTCCGCCACCCAGGGGTGTAGAGAAAAATAAGAGGAAAAATAGATCAAGAAGCAATGACGTACCAATTCCCATATGGTGAGCAGCAATCACCATAGGTCGAACCGAGACATGTGTAGTTTGATGATGACGAGGTGGCTCCGCATGAACCGTCCGGGGAGACTGTCTGGTCCTCCTGGTCACCGCCACCACCGCCGGAGATGCAAGATGGGTCTGAGAGAGAAGGTGTCGAGGGTCAGCCGAAAGTTGTCCGCTTATTCTTTCCTTCTTTTCCCTTCTTCTTCTTGGCTGCGCGGCAGTGAGGCATGGCATGCACATGTTTTTGTCACTCCCGAGGTATCACGACTCTCTTCTTCTTCTTCTTCTTCTTCTTCTTCCCATCAAGCAGAGATGCCTGGCGTTGAATATTATACCGAAAGTTATGAATTTTGGGTTTGGTTTTTTCTTTTTTTACCATACCGTGTGTACGGAAGAGAAGACCCGATTATACACTTGACGCAAGAGTCCACCAAGAAGAATAGTACTTGTTACATGTTTCCAAAAAAAAAAAGAAGGAGGAAAAAAGAGAAGAAGGAGAAGAAGAAGGAGAAGAAGAAGAAGAAGTGCTCATCATGTGAGAGAAGGGGGAAAGGGGAGGGGTGGGGAAAGAGAGGTGTGCTTCCCTGTTCCGCCTCTTCTTCTCGGTCCTCATCTCTGCCTTACACGTTGCACTTACCGGTCGGGGCGTCAAAGTACCAATTGGCCGGGGGGTCACCCAGGCACTCCCCGACGGGGACGACCTTGAAGCCGGCGGCGCTGACCTTCTTGAGCATGTACTCGGCCAAGACGTGCACGGTCTGGTTGTGGGTGTCGTGGCTGAGGACGAGGTGGGGGTCGACGCCGTCCCAGCCGGCGTCGAAGAGGACCTCGCTGTTCTGGATCAGTGCCGGGCTGTCGTTGAGGTAGTCCTTGGGGTCGATGTCCCAGTTGATGACGTGGTAGCCCAGGTCGGCGATGGCGTCGAGGCAGCCCGAGTCGCGCGTGCAGCTCCCCATGGGGGGGCGCATGTACTTGGGGACCAGGCCGCCGAGGACGTTGCGGAGGGCCATCTCGTTGTAGACCATCTCCTGGGTCCGACGCTCGGCCGAGACGGCCGAGAGGTCGAGGTGCGTCCAGGTGTGGGAGCCGATCTGGTGGCCGGTCGAGTGCATGCGCTGGATCAGGCCGGCCCACGGCTCGGCCGGGTTGTCGATCCGCTGCTTTCCCAGGTTGTTCCCGGTGATGAAGAAGGTGACCCTGGTGTCGTACCGGTCCAGGAGGTCGAGCATGTCGCTCGTGTAGATGTACGGCCCGTCGTCGAAGGTGAGGGCCACCGTGTTGGGGACCGTGCAGGTCGTTATGATTGTTCCTTTGCGCGCGTGTCAGCTGTACATGCACGTGGATGCGCGAATCCTGTCAATGAGAGGAGAGATGGAGAGGTAGAGAGAGCGCGTGTGTGCGTGTGTGATGCGTGTGCAATACCGTATGGGACGTCTCCATCCTGGTTACGAGCGATGTCTGCTGTGCTGGTACCGCAGGGTTTGGCGCTTTTCCCACGGTCGAATGTTAGCTTCTCGACATGACGGGACTTGAGAGCAGAAGATGGATGGAGAGAAGGAGGAAAGAGGAGACAGAAGAAGAAGAAAAGATCTCGACTCACTCCGAATCGCATCTGCCATCGCTATAGTCTATCTGACAACCGGGACTGCCGCAGTAGTCGGTCGTGGTACCGCAGTAGCCGGACTCGGAGCAACACTGACCGGCCGGACAGGAGCCGATGCCCTGACCGCAGGTGACCCTCTTGAAGAGCTGGTGGGTGGCAGGTGATGGGGATGCCGAGATGGCGAGGGGAAGAAGCACCGATGCGGCGGCGGACAAGATGTTACAGCCAAGCATATCGTCTCCAGCTTCTCCGTCTGAGCGACTGGACAGGATGCAAGTATACAGATGATGATGGGTAGTCTGACGTCAGAGCAGGAATGGAAAGAAAAGGAGAGGAAGAAGGAGAAGAAGAAGGAGAAGAAGGAAGATGCTGTACAGTACTATCTCCGACAAATGTATATGATACTATATACAAATGTATATATAATATGTGCATCTAAATTACTGATATATAAGAGAAGAGAAGAAGGAAACGAAGAGGAAAGGACAGGGAAGGACAGGAAGAGAAAGGAAAAAGTTGAAATAGTCGAGGCGAAAAAAAAAAAATTAAAAAAAATTAGAGAAAAAGCAAAGTGCCATTATGCAAGGTACGAACAAGACGGACAGACATCATATCATGTAAAGCCATCGTCTTTTTTTCTTTTTCTATCCTTTATTTCCTTTTTCGTTCTATTCTTTTCTTTCTCTCCCTTGGAATGGATGGATAGATGGTTGGCAATCCTCGTTTCTTTTCTCTAGTGTTGATTCTGATATCATATCCATCTGTCCCTTCACCCCCTTCATCTGAGAGAGAGAGAGAGAGAGAGAGAGAGAGAGTGAGAGACGAGAGAGAGACGAGAGAGGGGGAGGGGGGGGGAGAAAAAAAAGAAGAAGAAAAGCGCCTCTCTACTGATTCTTTTGCATGGCTTTCCACATTCCCGAGGCTTCAGCTACAATCTCATCTTTCCATCCTTCTCATACGAGGGAGGGGGGTGAGGTGAAGAGAGTACGAAATCATCGAACGGATGACCATCATCTCATCCCCTTCCCCGCCGCCACCTTCTGGTGTGTGCCACGTAGTGATGATGGCCGACTCGTAGTCGGTTAACCGTCGTGACCATGCAAGGTCTTCCCTCCGACGGCACGGAATGCCGATGGAGAGGGAGGGAGGGAGAGGTTTCTTTCAAAATCACATCTATACCTTGCCAACCGGCCTTGTCACCAAGTGTGAGTAGAAAAAAAAAAGGAAAGAAAAGGGGATGGGTGAGGAGGGTGTGTATGGATGATACCTTCCCCCCTCCCCCCCC